GAAGTTGCTGAGTAAGGCAGGGCTACCCCTAAGGTATGGGTGGGATGGGGCTGGCAACCATTTTTTGCAGGACTTCTCCCTATAGAAACAATTTTATTAAAAATGTATTACAGAAAAATAGGTCAGGTGTAGTAGCAGTTTTATCAATGAATATTTAGAATAATTAGTTTACAATATTCACAACTGTGATTTAAAACACTGAACTATATAGAGCCAAATGACTGTCTACATTTGGATCACTATTACAATCCAAGAGACCACTGGAATTAGAACTCTGATGCTTAAAGAGTTAATGTGCCACACCCATCCTCCCAGATGTTCATAACACCATTCTTCTGGTATTCCAGGAGAACCTGGCTCCCCTCAATCCTACACTGCCTCCAAGAGCAGCTGGGTAGAAGTGGCTAGGGTGCCAAGCCTGAAGTCAGGAAGATTCATCTTCCTAATTCAAATCTGGCCTCAAACTAACTAGCTGCATGACCTTGGACAAGTCATTTGTTATAAAGATGACCCCAGACTCAGTTTCGAAGACTGGTGTCTCAAAGACTTTTTATTAAAGAGGTTGAAGTGCGTCATTTCGTTTCTCAAGAGAAGCCGGTGCACTTCCTTGGAAGGAGAGATATGCGGGCGGTAGAAGAAGCCAGGGCAAACTTCAGAGTTAGTAATTGGCCTAACTGCTCCCTTCTGGATCAGGATTGGGTCCTGATCCTTCTGGGTTACAATCTTCTTTATACGCCCCACCCTTAACATACATTGTATGCCTAGAATTGTGTTATCATTCCCCACCCTGGACTGAGAAGTTAGCCTGTCTGTGCTGATTTCATATCTACTTATGTGGAAAGCTTAACTCTTCAATTTCTCACATCACTTAATCCTGTTTGCTCAGTTTCTTCATTTGTATAATGAGCTGGAGAAGGAAATAGCAAACCACTCCAATATCTTTGCCAAGAAAACCCCAAGTAGGATTCCAAAGAATCGGACAGGACCGAAAAATGGCCCAACAACGATAATACTGCCCCCACTGTTTTTCAGCATGCCACAAATAGTCACAGCTTCCTTTTCAGCTATCACTTGGTAGCTCATACCCCTGAAGTTAGAATAGGTGGAACAGTCCACTTCAGTTGTTGTGGTTTTTTACATCTGTGATTCCATGGCTATAGGGAATTCCCAGAAAGGAAACTCCCTCCAGCGCTGCAGATCACTACCCATTTGATCATTTATAGTCTAAGAAGGTGATCACTACAATTATTATTATCTCCAAGCAAATCCTGCACAAAGTTTACATTTGGGGGAGGGAGCAGAACTATAACAAACATTCAGAAGGATGGGACAGGGTTCTACTTGGTCCTCTGCAACATTCTCCCCTCCCCCCAAAAAAAGCAGCTGCTCTTGCCCCAAGTGAAAGCAGGCCTGGTTGGTTGAAGGGAATGAGAGAAGACAGAAAAGGAAGGACCTCTTGCACTGAAGGTATTTGTTTCCCAATTGAAAATGCACAGGGGACAGGTTGGGCTTGGGGGTTGTTATTATTGATTGTATTTTGTTATTTGTTGCTTGAAAGACCTGCGATTTCAATTTTACCCTCTAAGAGTTTAAAACCCTTAACCTAAAATAATAAAGCTCCCTGTCAAGCAATTCCAGCACCATAAATTGGATTATACTTTGCATCTGTAATTCAATCAACAACAATTTATTAAGTACCTACTATGTGTCAGGCACTGTACTAAGTAAGCAACAGAGATACAGAGATGAGAGTAAATCAATTTCTCCCCTCTGGGTGCTTATGCTCTGGAGAGACAGCTGGGTGGAATAGTAGATAGAGGCTAGATGTGCAGTCAGGAGGTCCCGAGTTCAACCAAGCCTCGTATGCTTGCTGCATGACCCTGGGCAAGTCACTTAATTTCTGTCTGATTCAGTTTCTCCATCGATAAAATGAGGATGATAATGCCATTTACCTACAAGAGTTGTGAGGATAAAATGAGATAATATTTTTTAAAGTGTTCTGCAGACCCAAAAGAGAGCATGAGAAAGAGGAGGTGGAAGAGAAGGAGGAGGAAGAGAAGAAAGAAGCAGAAACAGAGAGACAGAGTTATGCTATTAGTATACTTTAGGCACCTAAAAATCTAAGTAGGGCCAGGCTAAATCTGTCATGGAGTAAAGGGATAAATTCTGCTCTGGTAAAAACTGTGCAGATGTAAATACACACTCATACACACACGTACACCCATGTACCTGTAAACATGCACACACATGCACAGATTTTACTACTACTACTTTACTACTTTGATTCTATTTAGACACATTGAGAATTATGTCAACAGCTGAGGGCAATATGGTGGCTGTGTATATCTCTAACCATCCATCACAGCCTTTATATCCCCAGACAGAGGAGAGGAGAGGAGAGGAGGGGAGGGGAGAGGAGAGGAGCATTCCACTGTTTGCATTAGTAAAATTTTAAACATCCCAAGAATAGGTACTACTTAAAGGGCATTGATAACCATGATCATATGGGAAAGAAGTGGGGTAAACATCTGGGAGACATTTTAAAAGACAATAATTAAAGAATCACATGATATCAAAGCTAGACATGATTTTGCCTGTATAGGTAAAGAAATTGAGGCCCGGAGCAATAAAGTGACTTGTCCAAAGATGAAGCCCAGGGACCAGAGACCATATCAAATAGCAACTAGCTAAAAAACCTGGAGAAAATTTGGGTCTCAGGTGGTTGATATGTGAGTGAACTTCAAGTATTTTAAGGGTTGTCATGTGGATTGTTGCTGTGGTTGTTTTTGTTGTTGTTTGCCCTTCCTTCTTGAAGAGGACCAGTAACTTCAGGAGGAAGATGTCTTGACTTGCAAGTGAATTGGATTTAAGGGAGTCAGAGCTGTGCAAAGTCATCAGCCTGTTCTCTCCTCCAGAGTCATCAGAGTCCAGTGGCAAGAGAGATCAGAGTTGTCCTTGTTGGCCCACAAAGAAAAGCAATAGATAGAAACTGCAAAGGCAGATTTCAGTTCCAAAGAAAGTTTTTCAAAAGTGAAATGATGATTTTGCCCAACAGCATTGTCATGCTTTTTCAAAACCCATCAGTCACTGGCCCCGGGGGCAGGTTGTCTGTTCCAAGAGAAAGGAAAAAAAGACTTTAATCTGCTAGTCTGCCACTGGCTTCTGAGGTCAGAGACTGAGTCCACTCTGTATTGGGCTGACCTAGACCAATACTGATGTAAAGGAAGTAAAAACATAGGGATAAGATATGACTGCCCATTTACACTTGAAATGTTGGCTTCTTCTAAAATGGCTTCTAAAAGTAAATACAATTCCACCTTCTCTTTGCCACTACATACAAATGAATGACCAGCACACACACATGCCACTAACATTGGATCGTATATACTCCAAACAAAAAGCAGGCTTGGGAGAGGTAGTTCTCATTTTGGCATCCACATGTAGGAATGTGAAGATGAAGGATGTTTACTGAACACTGGACTGTTCGGAATAAGGGGATAAAGGGATATTTCTGACATTATTTAGATTCCACAGCCCTGGAGCTTCCTCAGCTCTACCTTTAATGACCCTGGTCTTATCTAGGCTTCACAGAAATCATGCCTACTTTGTAGTCACAAACAGGAGAGTGACAGAAGGTATCTCAAACCTAAGACTTTGCCATTTAATGAAGGAGAATTGGATATACAGGGGCAGCTAGCTGGCCCAGTGCATAGAGCACCAGCCCTGGATTCAGAAAGACCTGAGTTCAAATCAGGCCTCAGACACATAACACTTACTAGCTGTGTGACCCTGGGCAAGTCACATAACCCCATTGCCCAGCCCAAAAAAGAGAGAGAGAGAGAGAGAGAGAGAGAGAGAGAGAGAGAGAGAGAGAGAGAGAGAATTGGATATACAAGCAAAAGATAATCTCTGATCTGAAAAGGCTCACTGTCTAATGGGGATACAAACAATTATGTTGTTATTGTTCAGATTTCCATTTCTATCACATTAAATTAAAAAAGCTTTTGTACAAATAAAATAAATGTAGCCTAGATCAGAAGGAAAGCTGAAAATTGGGGGGGGAGGGGAATTTATAGATTCTCAGATAAAGGTCTCCCATCTCAAATATATAAAGAATTTTCTCAAATCTATAAGAATATAAGTCATTACCCAAATGATAAATGGTTAAAGAAGATCGGGAAAGGCTTCTTGCAGAGGGTAGGGTTCTACCTTTACAACCTCAGCAAGTTATATCCCTTCTCTGGGCCTCAATTTCCTCTGTAGAGTGACAAAATGATATCTAGGTCCTTTCCAGCTATATTTACTAGAATCTTGTAATTGTTCAATGCTTATTGAGGCAGGGAAATATCCTAGGTATCTGCCACAGAAAGTAGGGAGAAGACCATAGAAAGGTCAGACAAAGTAGGGAACGAGGCATTTTTGTTGGAGCAAACATGAGACTCACTTTCTGTAAAGATATGCTTAAAAAAATAAACACAGGAGCGCTACTTAATTATAATGCCTGAGCTTGTCACCGAAGACATGAAAAAATGTACTCCTCTCTCTTCTTTGCAGAGGCAGGGAACTATCACTGTTGAGTATTGCATATGCTATCAGATTTAGTTGAAGTGTTGGCTGGTTCTGCTGAAATGATTTTTTAAAAATTCTTTTCATTCTTTCTTACAAGGGATGGATTGCTGAGTAAGGGAAAGAGAGAGAGACATTCAGAAACAAAGGTGATATTAAAGAAAAAAGATATCCATATAAATTTTGAAGTTGAAAAAAACCCTCAGGAATCAACCAGAGCCCTTTCCAAACACTTTTCCTGGTGGGCTACCTTGTTATTTTTCCCCTAGATTCAAGCCATCACTCGATCCTATTATCTGTTCCCTCTAACCCATGCATAGGATTCTATCTCTTCTTTCAGCCCCTTTAATGCTAAACTCTATCTCCATCTCATTCAGGGATTACTAGAAGTGGAATCAGAGGACCTGGGTTCAAATCTTGGCTTTGATACTTACTATCTTCATAACCTTGAACAAAACATGACCTCTCAATGTGACTCCTTGGTTTCCTCTTTTGTAAAATTTTCCCATTGGCTGCTCTCTTTGTATTCCACTGCACCTCCAAACTCATCGTCCTTGACATTGCTTCCACCTTGGTACTCACATCTCATTAGACTCCTCAGTAGCTTCTGCCCCAGTGAATGGAGGGCTAGGGAACAAAGTGAAATCTCCTGAAACATCCATTACATAAAGAGGGCTCAAAAGCTTTATTTCCCATCCACTACACTGAGGATTCCACTGGACCATCATCATGCCCCAGGGCCTGCTACCTTGCCCTTTGCCCCAGACCCTTGTCAGCTTCCTTTTGAGTGTTGTCTTAGACTGGAAGCTCCTCAAGGGCAGGATTTGTCTTTTGTTTTCTTGTCTGTATCCCCAGTGCTTAGCACAAGGTCTGGCACATAGCAGGCATTTAATAAGTATATACAGTACTATATCGTACTGGAAAGTGCAGAGATTGTACTTCTTAATCTCTGAGGTCCCTTCCAAACCCTAACACATCTTTACCTCTTCTTCATGGTCATCAAACTGATCATGTCCCAATTGTCTTCCTTCTGTTTTTCTGTGTATATATGTATGTATGTATATTGTGCAAACATAATACATATGCACATGCATGTTTGTGTCTAATGCATACATACATACATACATATATACATACATATAATTTCCTTACCTGAGCTGACTCTATCATCTCCCCATTTAGTATCAGATTAAATTCAAAATATAAAGCATATTGTAATTCATAGAATTTATTCAAACTCTGGAGCATAATGCTGCAGTTGGCTAAGACTGCAGGAAAGAATATTTCATTTCAATATTATAACAAAATATTTTCTAGGAACTGGAAAGCTACTGAATAGTGAAATGGGTTATCTGTACAGGGGTAAGATCTCCATCATTAGAGATATTTAAGAATTCAAGATATTTGAGGGGCTGGATTGATAGACTGTAAGCCTCATGAATACAAATACTATTTTTTTCTTTGCTTCTCCTGTGAATGGAATATAGAAGGTGTCTCAGAAATGATTGCTTAATTGAATTAAATCACTGTCATCATCAGTTGTCAAAGGAAGTCTTCTCCTGAGTAGGAGGTTAGACTAGCTAACTTCTAAGGTCTTTCTCAGCCTATGATTTTATAATGCTAAGAACAGATCTGTTGAATATGGAGGTGAGTTCATAAATACTCAGAATTGGTCCTGGAGGAAAAATAAAAGACTGGAAACAGAACAGATCTGGGGGTACATGATAACTACTTTCCAATATTTGAGAGGGTGTCACGAAGAGAGATTAGATTTACTGTTTGGCTTTAGAGGACAGAATTTAAAGCAAAGAACAAAAGTTGAAAAGGCAAACTTAGCCTTGAAGGAAAGAAGTATTTTCTGGGTTTTTTTTAAGGTAGTTGTGGTTAAGTGACTTGCCCAGGGTCACACAGCTAATAAGGGAAGCATTTTCTAATAATGAGAGTTGCCTCAAAGTGAAAAAGCCAGGGATATAAAAGCTTCCCCCTCAGTGGAGGTCTTGAAGTCAAAGTTGAATGTTCACTTGTTGGATATATGTACCTGACAGGTAGAAGGCACTTAATAAATGCTTATTGACTTGATTTAACACATAGAATAGATTCTTGTTCAATTATGTGTTGGATGAGATTTTGAAAATCTATGGAATAGATGCAGTCCCTGCTCTCCTTGTCCTTACAGTCTACAACAAATGATATAGTTGAAATACTAAGTTCTGAAAATGCTTTTGTGGGGTTTTTTTGTCTATCAACAAATATTTCTTGAGCAATTATTGTGTGCCAACTAGGCAGTGTTGAATGGCAAAATGAGAGAAAGTCTATGTTATCTAGGAATTTCTTATCTATCCAAAGAAATGAAATATAAATACATGTAATTAGAAATCATACCCAAACACTGAAGTAGCTCAATGATCTCATCAATTTGGATGATGTCAACAATAGAGCTTTCATCTGTTCCTTCCCATTCCATACAACTGTTTTCAATGCCCACCTATAAATTTGCCAAATGAGTTTCAAGGGCCCTACTCAATTTCTCCTGACACCAAGAAGGTTTTAGTGGAGCCATTGTCTGGGCAGTGGTTATACCTCATTCTGTCCATGCAACCTTTCCATCTTCTTTCTTGTTCATATATTCTGCTGACATCTTTTACTTTGGTTCCTCTTTATAGTTACTTATTTATAGTACAATATTATGTCATATATTATATTCCATTATATTCCAGGGATTGTTCTCTTTCTCTCTCCCTCCCTCCCTCCCTCCCTCTCTCTCTCTCTCTCTCTCTCTCTCTCTCTCTCTCTCTCTCTCTCTCTCTCTCTCCCTCTCTTTCTCTTTCTCTAATATGTGTGTATATAAATATATACTATATGTGACCTATAACATGTATTAATATATGTACATATATATGCATATGAGAGAGAGACAGATTGATTTGTGTGTGTGAGTAGGCCAGAGAGCTTTGCTCTATTGTATAAACATAAACATTATCTCTTATTCTGGGAAGGAAGCTGTGTACATCTGTGCCCCATTGGTCAAAAGAGGGATTGGATAATATAGTATAGATAAAGTGAATCACAAATCTGCTAACCCAAAGTACACACACATACACACACACACACACACACACACACACACACACACGCACCTATGATGGATAAGTGATGTTGAGTCAGACCCATAATAATTTGAGTCTTGAGAGATGGGTAAAACTTGGAGGAACATGGTTATTCTACTCTTCAACAGTGGACTTATCTGAAATACACATTCAAATCCAATCCTCCGGTACTCACTAGATGTTAGACCATGAGTGAGTCACTTAATCTCTTGTTATTCTTGTTTGTAAAATGGGAATGTGAGATGATGCCTACATTACTTTACTCACAGGGTTGTTTAAAGGTTCAAATAAGATCATGTATAGAAAAGGCTTCGCAAGTTTTAAATGACTGCATGAAGATTGGCAATTATGATTATGTTCTAATATTCTTAGAGATTTAAATAGTATTTAGAGAGGAGAGGGGCTGGAAGGCATTAGCATACAGAAAATAATGAGCAAATGAACAGCAGCCAAATAGCAGAGTACATAGACAGGAAACAACAAATGGTTGGCATGTAGCACTGGTAGAAAGAAGCAGGTTGTGATTAGATAGGAAATTGGAACGGTCTCAGATTATGGATGAATGGCAGGACAAAGAGTCTGAACTTTATTCTCTAGGCAATAGGAAGGCAAAGGAGTGTTCTGATCAGGTCGGTGCTTGAGGAAGATGAATAGGGCAGCATTATAATGGATGGATTGTGAAGGAGAGAGGAGAGATGGGAGAACAGTTAGGAGGCTATGTGAACAGTCCATGCAAGTAGTGATGAGTTCCTTCCTGTACAAACATGGTAGTAGGGAAGACAAGAAGATAGATTTGAGAAATGTTGCAAAAGTAGAGTTGAGAACAGCCAACCAGATGGAGATGAAGGTAAGAGAGAAAAGGTTTTCTTTTTGTTTTTTGGCTAGGCAATGGGGTTAAGTGACTTGCCCAGGGGTCACACAGCTAGTAAGTGTTAGGTGTCTGAGGCCAGATTTGAACTCAGGTCCTCCTGAATCCAGGGCTGGTGCTCTATCCACTATGCCACCTAGCTGCCCCTGAGAAAAGTTTTTTTTGACTTGCATTGCTGCAAACACAAATGAGGATGCAGAAAGGGGAGGTTTGGGAGAAAAAAATAGTTTTTCTTTGGACATGCTGAGTATAAGGTGCCAATGGCCCATCCATGCAAGTAGGACCTTAGGCAGGTTGAGTTTTGGAAAATATTTAGGGCTCAAGTATTGATTCAAATATTGAAGCCATGGGAAGGAAGGAGCTAACTCAGGTAGCCACATCATATAATTGACTCGTATCAAGCTTGTACCTCAGTAAGACTCTTTGATCTTTCTCATCCAGAATGTTGTCTAGACTTGCCTCTCCAATCCTATACTTGTGAAGTTGATTTTTTATGTCAAATTTAGGATTTTATTTTTCTCATCCATTTCACCTTCATCTCACTCTTTTCATTCATCTCTGGGCTCTGCTTCTGACTCTCCAGACTTCTTTTTCAGTATATCCTAGCTGCCTTTTTGCCCTGGAAAACCATTCTACCCTAGTGATCCCTTTCTATAATTGCTCAGTTCTTCCTTTAACGTCCAATTCAAGGGAAGTGCCTAGCACAGTCAGGTACACTCACTCATTCTTTTCTGCAGTCTGCTCATGTCTCTTCAGACTTAATTTTTCTCCCTATCCCAGCATCCTCATCATCCTGGAAGACCACTCTACATCTGCGGCCCCTTCCCCTAACTGATAAGTTCCTCCCAGAACCTCCATTTTAAGGAAAGTACTCAGGCCATCTGGGCAGCAAGGTAGCACAGTAGACAGAGTGCTGGGCGTGGCATCAGGAAGACTCATTTTCCTGAGATCATTTCTGGCTTCAGACACTTACTAGTTCTGTAACCCTGGGCAAATTATTTAACTCTGTTTGCCTTAGCTCCTCATCTGAAAAATGAGCTACAGAAGGAAATGGCAAACCAGTCCAGTATCTTTGACAAGAAAACCCCCAAATGTATGAAGGGGGGTGCACACACACTAAAAGTAGTAAGGTGAGTAAGGTGGTTTGGGGAAGGATGTTACCAGTTGAGGAAATTTTAAAAAGCTTCACGAAGATAATTGTGCCTAAGCTGAATCTTAGGAAAAGAGAGAGACTCTATAAGGGAGAGTACATTCTAGCCACGGGGGACCCCAGGAAAAAGGCAGGCACAGAGAGGGAAGATGGGGCACAATCAGTGAAGAACAGAGAGAAAGCTGGTCTGTAGCATTGTAGATCAGTCTATTTACCCTATTCTGCTCTGAGACTGGTCTGACATGATCTGTTCTTGATGAAGCCATGCTTATCCTCCATTCTCCTTTTCCTTTCTGAAAACCATCTTTTAATATTATTTCTGGAACTTGACAAGATTATTGGTTTTGCCATGGATAGGAGGTTAAAATTCTGTCCTCAGTCTATCTCTAATGGCCTTTCCAGATCTCATGTTATATTTCCACTATAAGCAAGGCACTCTGTTAAGTGCAGTGGGAAATACAAAGAGCCTTGCTTCTAATGGGAAGACAATCCGTATGG